GATAATAAAATATCACACTCTTGTTGTAAGCTTGACAACTATTTAATTGTCACTACAAGAAAATTGTTCATCAGTGATAACACAAAGTCATTACAGAACATACAAATATTGTCACAAATACCTTTTATTGACGACTTTTTGATCGTCACAAAGTCGTCACTAAATCCCCGTCTGTAAAAGTAAACAGTGACAACCTAAAATTTCGTCACTAAATAGTTCTCATAAGTGACGACTTTAAGTAGAGCATTTTTGACAAAAAATCAAGTCGTCAATAAAACACTTCCGGATTGTTGTCACTAATGACAACTATTTAGTGACGACATTTCAGGTCGTCACTAAATAGTTGTCATTAGTGACAATAATCCGGAAGTGTTTTATTGACGAATTGACCTTTTGTCAAAAATGCTCTACTTAAGGTCGTCACTAAAAAGCACCGAAAGCCATTGTATATAACTATTTTACTGATAACAATTGTCGTCACAAATGTAGCTTAGATTTAGTGACAGTTTCTGTTGTGACAAGGAGTTTTTATTTTTTATTTTGTGACAACTTTTTTTTGTCATTAGATAATTTCTCAATAGCTTAATAGTCATAATTTGGCCTGTAATCATTGCTAAATCATTGATTTTAAACAAACCATACAAATAAACATGAACAATTGATAACCAAAAGTATTTGCATTAGATTACATGGTAATAATATAGCATTCTCAAATGCCAAATTCAAGTGTACATTACCCAACTAATGCCTACAAAAATAACATTTGTCCAAAATATCACTTGTACATAAGATACAAGTACAAAAGTAATCACAGTTTAAGAAATTGAAAAACATCTAAATGAACCACTCCATGAGCAAAAGGCAATTTTGTCTTCAACGTTCTTCAACCATAACCATAGATATCTTCCAAAAGCTAGTATGAATAGCATTTATCTGTCATAAAAGAGTAAAAGAAGTAGGTAAGGGGAGGAGTACAGTAATAAAGAACAAGTAATGAGACTTAGATTATTAAGACAAAAATTACAATTCATTAAGAATCTCATATAATTTGGGGCCACATATTACAACACCAGCAAGAAATTAGAAATCACAGTCTAATCTATACAAATACAACACTGCATAAGCTCAACTAAAGAGCTCTCTAAAACAATTTTTTTTATTTTCTTTCTTCTTCTTTAAATAGCTCAGCTTATTGAACAATTAAATTGGACTCCCACAGTAATTATTGTTTAATCTTTATACTTTTGGTTGTTTATATATTAAAACACAGAAAGCAACTTATTGTACGAGGTGTGAATACAGGAGATACTAGCCCTCTTTGATTTTAGGAGTTTATGCTTCATAAATCATGAAAGAAACGATGCTTCTGTAGGATTAAACTGTGCAAAGAGAATGAGTTATTTGCCTCACAATGTGAAAGTGAAGACCATCTAAACAGGTGAAACCAATCAAAGTTCACAAACGCCCCCTTTGCATTATATTCATTTCTTTCAAGTCACTACATAGGCAAAAAGAAGATTGCTATCCATGCATGGTCTGTCGCTTGTACTTGGAAATAATATACTATTGCAGATGAACAATCAGATTTTTACCTCTCTATTGATAAACTAATAGCACTATATACATGATACCTAGATATTTTCCAAAGAATAAGTTCAGATAACAATGATGCATAACATCAGCCCCAAAATATGTTATTACACAACCATCAGCCCCATAACCATAACAATAAACTACATAATCATAACAAAAAATAGTCCACAATGATGGATAACATTAGCCCCAAAAAATGTTATTACCAGCTATTACCAAAAAACAGTCCACAATGACTACAAGTTACCAAAAACTACACATCAGCCATAACCATAACCATAAACTACACAATCATAACAAAAAACAGTCCACAATGATGCATAACATCAGCCCCAAAAAATGCTATTACCAGCTATTACCAAAAAACAGTCCACGGTGACCACAAGTTACCAAAAACTACAAATCAGCCATAATCATAACCATAAACTACACAACTATAACAAAAAATAGTCCACAATGATGCATAACATCAGCCCCAAAAAATGCTATTACCAAAAAATAGTCCACAGTGACCACAAGTTACCCAAAAACAGGTCACATCAGCCCCAAAAAATGCTATTATCAAAAACAGTCCACAATGATGCATAACATCAGCCCCAAAATCAATAAGTTAAAGGATCAGAATAGCAACAGTTCACATTAGTATTGTAATTCAATTATTCGTATGAGAAGGATGCATTACCAGCTATTACTACCAGATGCATTTCCATTGCCTTGGTTCTTGGACTGCAATTCTGCTCGTAAAGCCTTAAGGAGTTCCTGCATTTCAAGCTGCTAGTTTTGCATTTCAGCTTGTTGATTCTCAAGCCTTTGCATCAGCTGCTGTTGAGATTGGACTTGAACTTCCAATTCAACTGATCGTTTCTCAGCTTGTTCTGCCTTTTTCTTGAATTCTTCTATCTCTGCAAGTTTTTGTGTAATTAAACTAGCCTTGGAGGGGCCACGACCATGTACATATCCAGTTATACGCCCAGTCACCTCAATACAGATGTCTTCTTCGGTTTGATTTACACCACTAGATTAAGCTTCTAGCTGTAAGTCCTTCATTTTGCTCTACAATCACAGGTTTGCTATTATTGATATATGCATAAGAGACATGAAGCATTGGTATTAAGTTGAAAGTGATATTTTTCTTACCAGTTTTTCAGCTGATGTCTCGTCAACCATAGCATTCTTCTTTCGACAAAAATGTGTCATGTCATAAAGTTCAATTGGTCCAACTGTCCTTCCCTCCTTAGCTTCCTATTAGCAAAATAGGTTAAATAACCCAACCACACATCATAAATGAACTACTTTACACGTTTACTGACCCGGTCATCCTTATGACGTAAAAATGATTTTGTTCCAGCTGTATGGGCAGTTTGCTGCTTTGATCTGTTCAGCTTATTTCACTCACTTAAGGCCTACAATTGTCAATTCTATCTCAGATCTAGATAAAAAAGAGACATTGGCAAAGTATATAGCAAATTAACAAGTATGTGCTACACATACCTTGAATTCTGGACTACAATAGTAATCGCAAAGGTAAATCCAATCTGATTCTTTCACATATTTTGGTCGACGTGCAAGAGCTTCCTCCTTAGAGCCACATTTTTTGAATAGCATGTGAAAATTATAATGTCGACTTCTATATTGTGAATTTAATTGCTTAATTAAAGCTGGTTTCACATGCTTTCCTCCATCATAAGTGAAACTATTCTGAATTAAAAATAGAAAGACATATCAAAATCAGAAAAAATTAAGGGACTAATTTAAATTGCGTCTAGAAAACCAAAAAAATACTATGATAGCAGATTCTTACATTAGTAATTCTTAGCAGTTGATCTCTATCATCTTTAGGAAGCTTGCCCCATTTAGGTGCTTTCCACTTGCCATACTTTCGAATAACGCAGCTTGCCTCTGAAATGTATCGTTGAGCACCTTCTCCAACTAGTCTTCCACTTATTTCAGAAACAGTAATGTTCACCTTTTTTTCAGCTTTCTTTTCATTTGATAGTGCAATATTACGCGTATATTCTCTTTTTCTTTTTAACGTCACTTGGTCTAGTAGATACAAAGTAAACAAGACCATAAGTGCTAACAATAGCAACCATGGCAGTAATTAGTTAATTAGAGTAGAATTACACGTAAAACTGACATACCTGAACCGTTTGACTCAAGGTCTTGCATACTTTCAGTTTCATTGCTTTCACAACCAATAGCTTGATTAGATCCAACATGCTGTGAAGTAGGAGTTCCATCAGTTTGCATCCCAGCAGCTTCTTGTGATGTCATTCCATTGCCTGAAGATTTTTCAGCAATCTGTCTACTCTCAGCTTGTATACCTGAATTTCTTGTAGCATTTTCTCTAGCAGAGGATGCACTAGGAATCTATAATCCAGCAATTCAAGCCACCATTATACAGCGACATGTAAAAGTTGAATCAATTGCTTTGTCATAAACCAGTTTATCTAAATGGCAGATTGAAAAAAATAATAACTAACCTCAGATTCATCAAATAGATGGATCCTAGAAGACTTTTTTGTTAATACAGGTTCAGTGACATTGCTTGTCTTGGGAATTGCACTATTTTTTGGTTCACTAGCTTGCTACAATAACATAAGAATGTGCTTATCAATAGTAACTAGTTTAGGATGATAATTGCTAGTTTAGGAAAAAAGAAAATATCTGAAAATGACTCTTGTTTCTTTACCTGGCAGCTTACATTTTCTTTAGTTTGCTCCACAATTCCTCGCCCAGCATCCCGACTTTGTCGTAAAGTAAATTTTCCCTTTTTCCCCGGTCCAGCCATCTATCTACATAATCATATAACGCAAGCACCACCAAAATCGTAAACAACACAAGCAGCCATGACAACATATCATAAATTACAGAAAAAATACAAGAAAAAATTTGATTAAGAAATTCAATGAACAACATTGTTTAATCTGATTCATAGTCATCGATTTGTACAAATTGTTCATTTTCATCCTCAGAATTGAATTGTTGCTCAATTTCCTCATTATTATCAATAAAATTGTCATCCAATTGCCTTGCACGGCTAGCTGACAATTCTATAAAAAACATAGCACCAGCCTCTATCCTTTCTTCAGTTTGCACATCTCCTCTCTTCAAACTGACCAACTCAAGATTTTCTTGTACACCAATCAAATCTTCATGATACTCTTCTTGGTATGCCTCTTCGTTATCAACCAAATCATCTTCATGCTTCTCAGGAACATCATAAGATGAGCGTGGACTAACTAACTCTACAACATGCCAATTACCTCCAAGCTTCATATCTTGAAGATAGAAAACTTGTTCAGCTTGGGATGCTAATATAAAAGGCTGGTCTGAGTACCATGTTTTTGACATGTTGATGCTAGTGATATTGCTCTGCTTGTCTACTTTGATTCCCGAATTATTCCTCAAGTCCACCAATCACATTTAAACACAACTACTCGATTTTGAGTAAATGAGTATTCAACCTCAACTATATCATTAATTATACCATAAAAGTATGTTTTTTTATCAGCATGCTCCCCCTTTACCATAACTCCACTATTTTGTGTCTTTCTTTCTCTTTCCCGAGCCTTAATGTGGAATCTAAATCCATTCACATTACAGCTAGCAAATGTATTGACTCGAAAATCAGGTCCTCTAGCCAAGGACAACAATTCATCAGTACATTCTCCACGTGTATGTGTATACATGACCTACATCAGCCATACCAGATTCTTTAATAGTTTACTAAAATAAAAAGTAAAGGAAATTGACAAGTTTTTAACATCTCTTCCAATACTTACACGTTCTTCAAACCACTTTGGAAACTCCGAGTCTAGCCTTTGCTGTACGCTCGATAAATTTTGCTTTTCAAGAATTTGTCTATGCTCCCTAAATTTGTAGTAGTAGAAGTAGTTACATATTCTATCAAATGACTTTAATTACAAGCAATAAAGAACATATTATAGAACACGACATAGATTTAGCATTAAAGTATATTATTACCTCAAGTAATCATCTACTTCTTCGCAATTTCTCAAGATGAACAGGTGTATTCTTTGCAATTCAACCTCACTTAGATAACCAATCAGCGCTGCCTCAAAGGGCCGAGCCAAGCTAGAAAATATAGATAATTTTCCAGCAGCTTCGTGTTTCTCCATATTTCGTTCCGTTTGATTAAACCTGGTCAGAACATCATGCAAATACCTGGAAATGAATGTAAGACATTCATCATCCAAGTAGCGCTTAGCTATACAGCCTTCAGGTCGTGCCCTATTATTCACATAGCCTTTGTATTGACCCATTTTTCTATCTAAAAAAAAATTCAGCCCGAGTTGTTAGAAAATAAGAAAATTGGAGGTAAATCAAATAGGCATTATTAAAAATAAGAGGCATGTACCTCTCAAATGGAAACATCCACCGGTATTGGGCCGGTCCAGCAATCTTGGATTCAGTGGGTAAATGGACCATTAAATGGACCATTACATTAAAGAAATTTGGAGGAAAAATTTTCTCAAGTTTGCATAGTATTAAAATAATATTTTTTTCCTGCATTTCCAGCTCATCTAGATAGAGAGTTCGAGAACAAATTTTTCGAAAAAAATTGCTGATCTCTACTAAAATTTGAGATACATTTTTTGACAGCATTCCTCTAGTTGCTAGTGGAAGAAGTCGTTGTATGAACACATAGTAGTCATGACTCTTCATTTCTAAAAGTTGACGCTCCTTGGTCTTCACACACTGAGGAATGTTCGAAGCAAAGCCATCCGGGAACTTGATAGTGCTCAAAAACTGGCAGAAATTCTTTTTCTCTAGGCGTGATAAAGTGTAACATGCAAGTGGCATAACTTTAGATGCGCCGCCTCCCGGTTGTAGATGCAACTCTTCCCTTAATCCCATTTCTTTTAAATCCTCCCTAGCCTGCCATGTGTCCTTAGTTCTCGAAGGGATATTCATTAATGTACCTACCAAAGATTCACATACATTCTTGACAATGTGCATAATATCCAAATTATGTCTAATTTTATTGGTACTCCAATATGGAAGTTCAAAGAATATGCTCATCTTCTTCCAATTTGAACTGTTCTGCACGCGTTTTCTTTTCTTCTGTTGCAGCAAATCAGGTGCCTTGCCAAACTCAACTTGCTCAATACGAAGAAGTTGTTGGAGGACTTCCTCACCTGATAGGGTCCTAGGAGGCTGTCTATGTTCTCTTTCTCCATTAAATTGCTTTTTTTCTCGACGCCATTTATGATCAATAGGCAGAAAACGGCGATGGCCCATGTAACAACATTTGTGACCATTATTAAGATATAGACTAGTCGTCTCATCTAAGCACACAGGACATGCCTTGTACCCTTTTGTACTCCATCCCGACAAATAGCCATATGCTGGAAAATCGTTTATTGTCCACAAAAGTGCTGCACGTAACATGAACTTCTCCTCCCTGAAGGCATCATATGTCTCCACACCAGTGGCAAATAACTCTTTTAACTCATCAACTAGTGGTCTAAAGAATATGTCAATGTCATTTCCAGGTGCTTTGGGACCAGGAATAATCATTGATAAGAAAAAAAATGGATTTTTTAAGCATTTCCAAGGAGGTAGATTGTAAGGAACAAGGATAACAGATCATATACTGTATGAATTGCTCATGGTTCCAAAGGGATTAAAGCCATCACTAGCAAGTCCTAGCCTCACATTTCTAGGATCTTCAGCGAAGGACTTGTGATTTCTATCAAAATCCTTCCAAGCTAATGAATCAGCAGGATGTCGCATCATGTTCTCATTATCTACACGTCTCTCCTTATGCCATCTCATATCCCGAGCAATCTCTTTGTTCACAAACAGTCTTTGCAGTCTTGGTTTTAATGGAAAATAACGCAACACCTTTCTAGGTATTTTGGAATTTGGAGATTTATACCGCGGTGCTTTACATTTTTCATTTGGACAATGATCAAGGCCTTTATTTTCATTCCAAAAGAGTGCGCAATCATTTTCACAGGCGTGGATCTTTTCACACTTCAGCCCCAACTCACGGATGAAATTTTTTGCCTCGTAATATGAACTGGGAATCAAAGCTGTAGGAAATACTTGATGCAAGAACTTCAGCAACATATCAGTAGATTTACAAGTCCACCGATTCATTGTTTTCAAGTGGAGGATATGAACAATAAACGAGAGTTTTGAATACTTTTCACAGCCCGGGTATAGAGATTTTTCAGGCTCCGATAATAATCTGGGAAACCTACTTGCTTCTCCTTCTTTCTCGGTACAAGCACCCGTATCAAGTTTCGGTGAATGTCTCCAACTCTTACCAAAGTTAGCAACTCCTACATCATTTAACAGCTCCTCCATACTGTCAAAGTCACTATCGTTGTCATTTATTTCTATGTCATCATTCTCATCATCAGATTCAAACCCTTCGCCATGATATATCCACCTAGTATAACTATCAACAATTCCTCGACACAAGTGATTGGCCATGACTTTCTTAGTTTGATCCTCAAAATTATTGCATACTTTGCAAGGACATGGCAGTTTACAATTAGGATCCTTGCCTAGAAAAGCAAACTTAATAAATTCATCAACTCCATCTAAATACTTGGGGTCTAGGTAGTTCTTAATAGACATCCAACTCCTGTCCATATTGTTGCAGCCATTTATCCTACCATAAAGAATATGACCGCCACATTATATAGAAAACAAATGCAATGTAATATGAACTAAATTTAAACTCCTCAAATACCAGCAATGGGATCCAAGGTGTAAAACACATTTTTAGCAAAAATCAACCATCTCAAGTACAAATGCATTAGTAAGGCAACAAACTAAATAGAATCTGCAGCCACAGTATACATGCAAAAGTTTGGCAAACAAAAGATAAAGCCATAACATGAATAATCAATTTCATAGGCTGATTTTGCTAGCTAACAGCACACTACATGTTCAAAAAACATAGGATCAGGCATCATATATTTGTAAAGGGAAGATGCCCAACGCAAAAATAATAGAAGAGTAAAGCACAAATATAAATTTCAAGCCTGAATAATGGTAAGAAGGAACAGTACTTGAAACTCAGACCACTCAATTGGTTTCCTTTTCCTACCAAGAACAGGAGCTGTTTGCAATCTTAGCACCGCTCCAGATGCAGTAGTATGTGCCTTTACAAGAACTTCCTTATATCTGGTCTGAAATGCAATTGGGAAAAAACGTCCAGTGCTTTTGTTACCAACCCTGTTTATCAAGAATATCCCCAATTATATGGTAAGCCACTAATGTAAGGACTTGAATACAAGGCATAGACCTTCTCCACCAGCCTCTTTAACATCCATTAAAGATAAATTTAGCATCTCCTTTTAACAAACTTAGAATCTGGAGTATCTTGAGGAAAAAGGGGACTTTGAGCATAATCAATTTACTAACAAGAAAGACAGGTTTTCAAATTGCTCATATCTTTTAAGGAATACGTGACTTTGAACTAAATATGAGAACATCCAATTTCAGGTTAGTGAAAGTCCTTAAAGCTTCCACTGATGGCTATGCGCTTTACAATTAGCCTGAAATTGACTCATCACAGTTTCTAATGTCCTACCTGAGGTCGGTCAAGTAAATTGAAAAACAAACCATAGCTAAATGAAATTGTGATCACCGGCTAAGATCAGAAAGTCATTTAGTGATGTGATAATATGTAGGACAGCCTGGATTAAAAATATTGTAGAATATGTATATCTAATATCTCCATAGAGTGGTTTAATAGTCTAGTGCCACTTAAATGTTAGAGTAATCAAACGAGGACCATTTATTCAAAAGCAAAACGTTAAACTTATTGTAGAAAAATTAGATTGTTAGCTTATCTATTTCTTCAGTGATTTTTAGAAAAGAACAAAAATTAGATTGCTGGTTCATTTTTTTTCTTGATCATCCTAACTGGTATTTTTGGGAAAAGAATAAATATATACACTGTTTAACATGCATACTTCTGAGAATTATACTTGAATAAAATATGACCGATTTGACTTTATCAATTTGTCAACTAAATCCATAGCTTATGCTCCACTTTGGAGGATTAATGCTGTACATAATCAATATAACTATGCTACTTATTAAGCCATCAAAAGTGCAGATTTCAGATATAGGGTGTTAATTTAACCCTTCGATCCCTATATACAAAAACCAGAATTTTCTTTTTAAAAAAACAATACCAGAATTTATTGCAATGCAACTGAAAATATTAGACAAAATAGACCCACTGAGACTAGAGTCTTGGTTGCTGCTAATTCACAAGAACTGGGCAGTGGACATAAATGATTCCTTCGTCCATTCCCTCAATTTCTGTCCCCTTTCATGGCAACCTTATCGGATAAGGGGATATATACGCAAGAAAACGAAAAAGATTTTGGTCACGGTTACACCTAACTCTCAACCAAGACATGTATTACGTAATTAGCAATAGGGCCACAAAAATTTAATATATGAGTATTTCCAACGACAGCAAACCAAAACCATGGAAGCTCAAAACTTCGCTTACTGGGTAAGCCTACAAAAATTAATTGTGCTGTCAATGAAATAACCTTGAACTACTCACCTAATTGGCCAGTTATTTAAACAAAACTCGATCCCTTCTCTCGGAATGCCCAACATAGGCTTCCATTCCAATTTTCAACAATTCTGTCTCCTCCCTCTTTAATGCATTCCAGAAAATAAGGAGCACCGGCTCCTCGGACCATCCTAAACTACCCTAACCTGTGGTCAGATAACCCGAAATATTGAAGCTAAAACAAGTAGCTACACAGCTTAATCCAGGCGACTCAGTAGCGATAACAAAAAGGATCTTACATATTAGGGATTTGGAAAAATTGGGGAAAATGTATAGGAGAGAGAAAAATGAACCTTTCCAATGAAAACCTTGTACTTTAATGCTGGACAGCCATGGTGATGCTAGTGAGAAGCCAGAGAACGGATTTGTTGTGTGGGTGAAAGTATCAGGCCATGCGGAAGCTCTGTTTTGTGCTCAGTGCAGAAGCTTGTTTACTTCAGCTCGGTGAAAGTTTGTGTTGCTCAAGTGTTCCGTTGCTTTAAGTCAGACCAAGTGTTCCGTTGCTTTTGTTTTCAGAATGTGTTCCGCTGCTTCGGTCTTTGCTTTGCTTTGGATATTGTTTTTGTTTCGCGGCACTTTCACTATGATTTGATCAAAATTTTGACTTCACTCATTTTCCCTCCATTTGATACCAAAAATCATGTTTTTTTCTAGATTTGTAATATGGTTTGAACCATAGATTTTAATGCTATAGTATTATTCTTTATTTTTTAGCAAAAAATAAAAATTTTCATCAACATAGGTGGCAAAAATTGTTAATTTCATATAATTGAAAATGTACTTTTATAATTTGCTAATATTTTATACTAATTTCTTATAATTGCAGCACTAAAGAACATCTTGTAATTGAAAATAATTAAACTCAAATTATATGGTTATAACATAGTTTCAATAAAAATAATCATTTTCCCAACATTTGAGACCAATCATCATGCTTTTTTTATTTTTAATTTGGTTTGAAGCATAGATTTTATTGCTATAATATTATTCTTTATTTTTTAGTACAAAAACACAAATTTTCATCAATATAGGTGGCAAAATTTGTTAATTACATATAAGTGAAAATATACTTTTATAATTTGTAAATATTTTAGCCCTGCAATTTTTTATAATTGCAGCACTAAAGTACATCATTAATTGAAAATAACGAAAGTCAAATTCTATGGTTATAACAGACTTTCATTAAAAATAATCAAATGCTATTAATAAGACATTATTGTTAAGTCAAAATCAAAGAAAATTTAGTGATGACATAATGTTATCACTAATTTATTCAAGATTATAATGACAAGAAAAGTCGTCACTAATTAAATTGCTAGTTTTTAATATTGTCAATTGCTAGTTTTTAATACTTTTGTGAAAATATTGATAATGGTTGAGAAAATTTTGTTACATTACTGCAAGTGATAAATGTACTTTTGTTCTTTTTCAAACATTTATTTTAATGTTTAATTTTGTTTAAAACTATTGTACTAGTATAGATTTGCAAGACAAAACTTAAGTTCTCAATAGTTAAAAAATTCATTATAGAGAAAACACAAAGTAGTAGTTGCAAAATGTGTATAAATTACAGATATTTTAATGTGTATAAATTACAGTTTATTTTAATGTTTAATTTTGTTTGAAACTATTTTACTAGTATAGATTTGCAAGACATAGATTTATGGGTAATTTCTTTTTTTTTTTGCTTTCACATATTTAATTTATATTAAATATAAAACCTACCAGTTTCCCTTTCATAAAAATATTAGTGCAACACTTTTTGAATTTTACTTACAAACATTTATGTATTTAACATAAATTAAATGATTCAGAGTGAAATGCCCATAAAGAGCAAAATATTTGTTCATGTAATGGAGGAAACCCACAAAGAGTTGGTACTTTATGGGTCGTTTCTTTTTTTAAAAAAATTTAATTTATGTTGAAAAGATAACCTGCCAGTTTTCGTTTTGTAAGAAATCAG